CCTCCACGAACGAATTTGGAAATTTTCAAAAAAAAATCCGTTAAAAATTCTGTTAAAATCTTAAAAAACCGAATATAGCCGTTATATTGGGGTCTCTACGACGTGAACCTACATAGGCTTTGTTTGGCATAAGCCATTGCCATATTCAAATTCCAAACTTGAAATAAACGGTGAATAATGTAGTTAAAATCATCAAAATACCGTATATAGGGAGGTACTGTTATATCGGAGCTATACGTAGACCTGGACCTGCATAGACAATTTTCTCTCACAGGCTGTAGCATCCATTACGAATTTCAAATACGATATCTCACACAATTTCTGTGAGTATTGTACCTAAAATCATCAAAATACCGAATATAGGGAGGTACTGATATATGGGGCCTATACAAAGACCTGGACCTGCATATACAATTTTCTGTCACAGACTGTAGTTTTCATTACGAACTCTAAATACGTAATTTGAAACTACTCCGGTGAATAATGACGCTAAAATCGTCAAAATACCGAATATTAGTAGGTACCGTTATATGGAGGCTATACGAAGACGTGGACCTGCACAGACAATTTTCTGTCGTAAGCTGTAGTATCCATTACGAACTTCAAATTCCAAATTTGAAACAATTCCATTGAATAATGTCGCTAAAATCATCAAAATACCGAATATCGGGAGGTACCGTTATATGGGGGCTATATGAAAACGTGGACCTACATGACCCATTGACTTAACCTGCCTACTGGCAAAATAAACATGTGTGCAAAATTTTAGCCTTCTATCTCAATTAGTTCGAAAGATAGCGTGATTACAACAGACAGACGGACAGACAGACGGACATCGCTAAATCGACTTAGAATTTTACGTTGATCAAGAATATATATACTTTGTGTCTGACATGAGTATTTCGAGGAGTTACAAACGGAATGAAAAAGTTAATGTACCCTCCATAGTATGGTGGAGGGTATAAAAAAGGCATAACATGAAGTCTTGGAACGAATCTAAAATTTTAAATTGGAATTTTCGCCGACGAAGTAGCGGACATCTTTAGTCTAGACTCCAGAGTAACTGGATGAAGAAATTTGATTAAATCACTCGTGGCCTTAAATACAATGAAGTCATATGCATGCTTATTTTCTACTAATAAATTTGAAAAAAACGTTTATCATAGAAAATTGCGATAAGAAAAACACAACATTTTGCGACAAATGGCCTCTAGACATTATAACCTTTCCCCGCTGGCGTACATTAAACCTTAAATTTTATTTGTATTTATTTAGAGTTTAAAAACAAAATTCAAAACATTTTGTTGACACCACCTAACGCCATGGCCATATTCGATAAACAACAATTTTGAAAATCATGTTTATGCAAAGTGTTTGTTCTATCGAACAACAACGGCGGACATTTAGCACATGATTTGAGTGGACTCGAAAAACGTTTGAATCCCACATGAGTTTACGACATGAACCCTCTACTCAACTACAAACTCTGGACGGGATGTATATTCTTATCAAAATTTTGTTAGTTTAACCACACATTTTTTTTTCTTAAATAAAAATAAACAACATTTGTTTTGAATAAACTTTTAAAGCCAAAAGACAAATTGAAATGGCAAGCGGTTTCTTATCGTGACAGATAAAACTATGAAGTATTGCATAGAATTAACTTTTTTAGCTTAAATAAATTTCGGATGTTTCTTCCAAAAATGAAACAGCACACATTCAAATGGAATTTGGAATATTTTAAATTTAATTAAAAATATTGCATTTGAAAATAAAAATATCAAAATATTTACAATTTTTCTCAAAACGTAGACATTCTTAACAAGTAAAAAACATTAATTTCGGCCGAGCTGAACTATTAATTTCTCCACCTTTGGGTAAAGGAATTCCTTGCCTTACCCCCTGGTAAACATTACCATCGTTCTCCACTAATAAACAAACGTTGTTTTTATAAAAACAACAATAAAGGGATTAAGCCTGACCATTTTGCGACAACAAAATACTATGGTATCCCGAACAAACAAGCCAACACTGTCTTGGAAACTTTTTTATATAAAAGTATCTGAATTCGAGGGTGTTCCACTTTAAACTTCAGATATCAGTAAGGACGTTTGGCTAATGCAGTTAAACTTATCAAAAAAACCATATAGTGAGTGAGGCAGATATATGGAGGCCATACCAAAACGGGTACCTATATAGACAACTTTAACAGGGTGAGATGAAAAAAAAAACTGCAACCAATTTCAGACTGCTATCATTTCTAAGCCACTGGTCCGACAGCTGTTAAAATTATTCCAGTGGCAGTTCATCACATTGCCTACAAGCGTACAAAAGCATTTTGGTGAGAATTTTCCCGAAAAAAGTTATTCGTGATGGAATTCAAGCGTGATAGTGTGATTTCTTTATATTTGGCCATCGTACCATCGCTCGTTATCGTGATACTGGTACTACGTAGCCCGACTTCAAGGAAGTAAACGGAAGAAAACAGCAACATCAGCAGAAATGGTTCGAAAAGTAAAGAAGCGACTTGACCGAAACCCGCATCGAAAATGGCTCGTGAGCTGAACATATCGCAATATGCCATTCGGCAGATTTTGAAAAATAAGCTCGGGGTGAAGCAATTGAAATTCCAAAAAGTGCAAGAACTTACACCGCAACAGAAATAAAATAGACTCAAATGAGCTAAAGAGTTGCTTCGCTTGGCCGAAAGTGGTGAACTGCCGAATTTGATTTTCTCCGATGAGAAAATATTCGTTGTCCAGCAGTTTGTAAGCAAAGAAAATGATTGTGTTTACTTGCCAAAGAGGTCAGCTGGTCGGTTGGTCACCAGAACTCAAGCGCCGACCATGGTGATGGTGTGGGCCGCCATAACAGCCGATGGTCGCTCTCCGCTCGTATTAATCGACCGTGGCATCTGAATAAATGCCGAATATTATCGCAAAAATATTCTAGAGGGTGTATTAAAGCCTTGGGCACGCAAAAATTTTGGCCGCAGACCTTGGACATTCCAACAGGACTCAGCACCAAAATGAGGTTCCTCACTTCATTTCCAGCGTACAATGGCCACCAAAATCTCCGGACTATAAATCCGTTGGACTATTGTGTCTGGAGTATTTTGAAAAGCTAGGTTGGCACTAAAAAATACCAAAGTGTTGATCACCTCAAGCAAGCGTTTCGCCGGTAATGGGACAAAATACCGCAGAACAACATTCGGGCAGCGTGTGACGGTTTCATTGGTCGTTTGAAGGCCATAATTCGTGCCAAAGGTGATCAATTCGAACAAATCTAAACTTATTCTAAAATTTGATGCTATTTCTGTCATTTTTTTGCTTTTATTCAATAAAATTTCAAAAAAAAATGCCGTTTTGACTTTGTAGCAGCTTTTTATCTCACCCTATATATATCTAAAATGCAAGGATTCCAAGAAATCTTAGTTAATTTTGAAATATTTGAAAGAAGAGGGAAATCTACTATTTTATACCCTCCACCTTGAAAAGTAGGAAAATTGGCAAGCACGATAGAGTCCACATTATTTGAAGTAGAGCTTCAAAATTTGGCAGAACAATTTTTATTGTCTAGGATGAAATGAGCCGCCATATATCGGTACCTCCCGATATTCGGTAATTTGATGACATTCGTCACTTTTTTCCATGGATTTGTCTAAAAATTGGTGTATGTAGTTTGCAATGGGTTCTAGCTTCGGTGGCGAAACATTGTATATAAGGGTTTTGGTATAGCCCCCATATAACGGTACCTCCCGATATTCTGTATTTTAATAATTTTTGCCACATTTTTCCACGAATTTGTCCAAAAATTGTTATTTGTAGTTCGCAAAGGGTTTTAGCCTCGGTGGTGGAATATAGTATATATATGTAGGTCCATAACGGCACCTCCCGATATTCGGTATTTTGATGATTTTTGCCACATTTTTTTACGACTTTGTCCAAAAATTAGTATTTGTAATTCATAATGGATTCTAGCTGTGGCGGCAGAACATTCAAAATTTAGGTCCATGTTTTCCTACAGCGCACATATAACGATACCCACCGATACTCGGTATTTTGATAATCCTAATCACATTTACCCACGAAATTGTTTCAGATTTGGTATTTAAGAAGATTTGGTAGATGACAATCCTTGAAGTATAAAATTGTCTATGGAAGGTCCCGTTTTGGTATGGCCCCCATATAACGGCCTCATCCACTTTATAGTTTTTTGAAAAGTTTAACAGCATTTTCCAAACTGTCTTACTGGTATTTTTAGTTTAAAGCGGAACACGTTTGAATTCAGATACTATTATATAAAAATGTTTTCTTTACCCAATAGTCGGTGGAGGGTATTAAAGTTCGACCCGGCCGAACTTAAAGTTTTTTTTTTACTTTTTAGTTCTACTTTCAGAATCTTCTTGAGTTTTCCTGTAATTTTACAGCTAAAAATTACAGCTGCATTAAAGTTTTTATTCTTTGTGACCAGGTATGAACAGCAGATGGCCGATATTATCCATTTTATAGTAGCTTATAATTTTGATCATGAAGTTATACAGACTTTGGTATTATGATATTTGACAACTCCTTTTTATACCCCAATGGGTAATCTAAGTCAATCTTATGTGACATTGGAATGGTGTTAAGGGGTATAATCTTAAAGATTGATTTCCGTGATCCGTGATCCGTGCATTGTAGTATGGGATATTCCAATATGCAACAAGTTTCAAAAAATTACAACCTTTACGAATTAATCTCTTCATTGCAATATGAATTCCAGGCGGACAAAATGAATCATACATTTTTTTTTTCCAATTACACACTTCTCATTAAGCGCCAACAGTATTAACAAAAAAGAAACACTTGTTTCAGTTTCAGCAAAGTGACGAAATTTTTTTTGTTGAATTCTCATAATCTTATCTATGGAATGCGAAATAACAACGAAATGAAGTGAAACATCAGCAATGTTTATGAAGATATGATAAAAAAAAATAAACTTTTTTCTGTTTAACTTACCTTTCAAATGCATGAAAATCATTTTCTGACGTTCTGTTATCGATTTCGATAGCAGTGGCCCCCGTTTATCCTTGGGTATATTCATATCTTCCAGAATTTCCATAAATTTGGCATCCACTTCGGAGTCGCTCAGAGCCCGTATGGTCTTTTCCAGTTCTTGTATATCGAAGGCAACCTCGCCATCTGTAGATGTGGGTCGTCCCGACAGCGTACCGGTACTGTAGTTGTTGCCTTTGGCTTTTGGGCGGCCAAACCAGCTTTCCAAGAGGCCGCCGCCCGATTTGTTTTTGTCATTTTTCGACATTCTAAAAGCAAAAATGTGCATTCTGTTAGTTTGGATTGTCTTTGATTTTAAAAATAATTAATTTAATTAAATATTTTTTTATATTTTTTGGGATGGCTCTTTTTTGGTAAAACAGCAAAATAAGTCTTGGCCGGCAATTTTTTGTTATTTATTGTGACAGACTGACTTGCTGTCTGGCCGGTGGGTGGATGTATTTGCATGAGTGTGTGTGTTTGGTTGGAGAAAAATTCCCAGCTGATATGTAAACCGTAACAGTCATATGTCTAGCCGCACTCTCTTTGACATTTGTTTTCATTTTTGTATTTTTTCGTTCTTTTTAATTTCCCTCCATAATATCATTTGGTTTGGGTTAGCTGTAGATTTGTTTATGTTGGCCGCCATTCAGGACCCCATATGCTGCCACTGTTTCGTTAGTTCTCTTTTTTCTTTTCTTTTTTTTACGTAAACACTGAACCAATGCTATGTTGCCGCAATTTGTGTTTCATTTTTCCTTTTCTTTTTATCACTACTCTTTATTCCGCAGTTTTGCTATGACAGGGCATCTGGAGCTGACTGAATGGCTGGCTGTCTGGCTGGTTGGCTAGTTGCTTGGTTGCATGATGGGGTTTGGAGCAGCGAATGCAAAAAATAAGCCAAATCGAGAAGATAAAAATACACATCTTTGTTTACATTTGTACAGTGTTGCCCTATCAATGTAAATGGAAATGTGGGGAAATTTTGATGGAATTATTGAATACATCATTTAATTTTAGAAAGTCCTTGGAGAAATTTTCTTTAAAAATTATGGAAGTTTTATGGGAGAACAAAAATTCTAAATCAGAGAGTTTTTCTGGGAACATTCTAAATGAAATCATTTTTTGAAACTCGGAAAGATCTAGAATTGACCCTAGAATATACCCCTGAGTAATCCGCGGTTAGAGATAATTGAGAAACCCTAAAGAAATATTCTTGAAAAATCAATGATTACACTGTGCGACAAAATAAAATGTTATCCATAACTACAGGAAGCGCTCGGTAGATTTTGAAAGTAGAGCAAATAACTCTTCGCGTCAAAGGTATATTTTTTTCAATAATTACAGAGAAAATCCGGCAGATTATGAATGTAGAGCTAAAAATAGTATCGGCGTTTTGAATGTTTACACCGCAATGTAACCTAAATTGAGGAGGCAAGTTCTCAACATTTCTTTTTATACCCTCAGCCATATAGCTAGAGAGGATATATATCATTTGACACGGTCAAAACGTGCCTAGTCGAAATAACGGTTTTAGACCCTAGGTCTCTTTGGACCAAATCCGTTTCAGGACATTTGGAGTCGATCTAACGATGTCCTTCCGTCCGTCTGTCAGTTTGTCTGGCTGGCTGGTGCGCACGATAACTCTAGAAGGGAGTAACCGATTTGGTCCAAACTTGGTATATCGTAATATTTTTGTCAAACTTAGATCGAGTTCGAATATGGGCAATATAGGTCCACTCCTTCTGGTACCTCCCCCACAAAGGGTCAACATTTTGAATATCCATAATATGCGAAATTAACATACGATTCCGTACAGACTTGGCACATCTCAATATTTCCATCAACACAATATCTGTTGTAAATGGATGGTAGAGATCGGACCACTCCTTCTGGTACCTACCTCACAAAGGGGTTAAAGTTTTGAATATCCAAAACGACTATAAAATTTGGAATAAGCCTCCAGTCCTCTTAATATTTCGCACATCCCATTATATATACTAATACAAGATATGCTATGAAGATGGAACATATCGGTCCACTCCTTCAGGTACCTCCCTCACTAAAGGTCGAAATTTTAAAAACAAAATATTTTACTGCACGGAGAGAGAAACGATAATCCGATTTTGCTCCAACGTTGTAAATCCTAATATTTGCATCAGTGCTAGGTCAGGTGCTAGAATGGACAATATTGAGACAACTTATCAAGTACCTCCCCCACAAAGGGTCAAAATTTTGAATAATTATAACTCTTATAAAATGCGATTGTCTTCAAATTAAACACAACACAATATTTTTATTAATCCAAGGTTTGGTGTAAATATGGAGTATATTGGTCCACTCCACAAAGGGTCAAAAATTTTGAATAACAAAAACGATTATAAAATCTGAAAAAAAAAACATCCGGCTCTTTTCATATTTCACAAATCCCATTATTTCTACTAACAAAAGATCTGCTGCGAAGATGGGATATTTGGTCCAATCTTCTGGTACTCCCACACAAAAGGTTAAAATTTTGAAAATAAATGAAACTCACAAAACGCGAAATTAACATACGATTCCATTCAGACTTGCCACATCTCAATATTTTCATCAGCACAAGGTCTGTTATAAATATGGTAGAGATCTGAAAATTCCTTCCGGTAACTCCCCTACAAAGGGTGAAAATTTTGAATATCCATGAAGCACATAAAACGCGAAATTAACATCCGATTCCATGCAGACTTGGTACATCTCAATATATCTACCAACACAAGATCTTTTATAATGATGGTAGATCATTTCTTCTGGTATCTCATCTGGTATGAATAACCAAAACGTTTATAAAATCCGAAATAAGCATCAGGTTCTCTTTATATTTCACAAATCCCATTATTTTCACTAACAAAATATCTGTTGTGAAGAAGTGATATATCGATCCACTCTTTCTGGTACCTCCCCCACAAAGGCTCAAAATTTTGAATATCCATGAAGTTCATAAAAAGCGAAATTAACATTCGATTCCATTCAAGACTTGGCACATCTCAAAATTTCCATCAACACAAGTTCTGTTATAAAGATGGTAGAGATCGGTCACTTTTTTGTTGCTACCTGTGCCACATATCAAGTTTTTGAAAAACAAAACGCTCAAAGAATTCAAATTTCACACATACAAACATTTTTTCTAATACAATATCTGTTGTGCAGATAATATATATCTGTGAACCCCTTCTGGTACCTCACTCATAAAGGGTCACAATTTTCAATACTTTTATCTGTCATAACTTGCGAAACAATTTAGTGATTCTTTACAGCTTCCTTTATCTAAATATTTCTCTCCACCAGAAACCTGGGATGAATATGAAATTTATGACTTCGCATGAAATTGGATATAAATGTTCGATTTTCTTGTAATTTTGCCCTTCAAAATATTTTTATCTGTATTAGATGAAATATGAAATGGAATACATCGTTCGACTATACCAGGCACCTCACGCACATTTTAACATTTTCTAAAAATTAACACATATCTTATATAAAGTGAAGGAAGTAACAAATATAGTCCGAACCTGACACGTCGCAATATTTATATCATATTAATTTAGGTCCAATATGAAATGGCCAATATTGGTCCATTCCTTTGGAACCCACTCTATAGAGGGCCAACAATTTGAATAATCATAAAAGAAGTCAAAATAAATTTAAATAATCGAACATTGGCTGAGGGTATATATCTGTCGGAAAAGCCGACTGATACTTTTTAATTTGTTTTTTTTTTTTTATCAAAATTTTAAAATATAAATATCGATGCTCAATTCCGAACAAGGAAAAAATATTCTTAACGTTGAAACTCTGAAAGAATTATATTTAATTTCAATCGTTTTGAGAATCCTTGGAACCGGTTTCTAATGTCTATGGTTATATGCATGGTACAATAAAAAGGTAAGGTAGAGCTACCAGCTGACTACAATTTTTTTCTGAGTGTGCCCGAGTTCTGCCAATTTTGTGTATGCATTTATTGTTTTGAAAAATGAAAACAAAACATGAGGAGGGAATAGCCTCAGAGCTATATTTCTGTAGTTTTACGAAGCTGTTCTACCTCCTTATTGTACCATGGTTATATGTATGTCTAATAAGATGTTGCATTTAGAAATAATCTGGAAATGTACACGGTTATATATCTCGGAGGGTATCCCTTAATTATTTCTTTCTCTCGGTGATACGGAGGTCTTCAGCTAAGGCCTTTTTCCTCTTTGATTCTTTTCCATTTTTTAGTTGCTAATTATAAAAAAATAAATAAAAAAAACCATCGAATATTCCGTTTTAATATCACAATAAATTAATTCACCTAGACCCGCTGATGGATGTGTGGCAGAGCGAGTGCATTAACGTTGCATCAACAATGCAATACAAAAATTATAAGAGCATAACAAATTTCGATGCACATAATTATTTTACCACACATGTGTTGCAACAAGCGCAACAATGCCGTTTTCGGAAGCAATGAATTAATGCCCAACTATCTAGCTACGCTGGCGGCCAGTTAACGTGGAATTGAATATTGAATGTGTGCCGCGGCCCTCACCGCTCATTGCTTACCGAAGCATTACCATCAATCCCTTTCCCCCGCCCCCTTGTAAACTGTAAATAAACAAAGCGGAATTGGCGGATAAAAATTCTAATAAATTATAGCTGAACAAAAAGCAAAACAAAAAAAAAAAACAAAGTGGAAGAGATGTGAAGTGAAAAACAAAACAACTACCCGGTACCTCCTATAGACGGGGAAAGGAAATGTGTTTAAAATCATTTGAATATTTACATGGAAGTGTTGCGGAATTAAGTAATGGTAGAAATTATTATACCATAACTAATATTAATACCATTAGCCATGTGGCTACGGATGGTATATATCATTCGATATGGTCAAAATGCGCCTCGTTCAAATAAAGGTTCAAGGTCCTAGGCCTCTTTAAATGAAATCCATTTAAAGACATTTTGGACTCGATCTTTACGTCTTTCTTTCTTGCGCATGGTCCAGACATGTTAAATCATAATATAATTATCAAAACGTAGATCGAGTTTCGATATGGGCAATATCCGTCCACTTCTTCTGGTACCTCCCCCACAAAAAGTCAAAATTAAAAAAAAAGAAAATAGTAAGGAAAGATCAAAAGTTGGGCGGGGCTGACTATACGGGTATTTAAGTAGATCATACCAACTACGAACCTTATTTGAATACGTATCATGGCTTCAGAGTAGTCACAATTTGGGAACTATATCCAACTCTGAATCGATTTTCAACAAATTTGACGGAGGCTTTTGCACCTCTACTGCCAAATAACATTCTGTATAGTACATGATATGACTTCGATAAGAATTTTATTAAAAAATATTTATTGAAGCAATTAATATACCGGACCGAGTTTCGCGGAATGGAAAAAAATCTGTGGACAATAAAAAAATCGATCCAATTTGGGCTGATAACCATACCAGAAGAAATGGTCCGATCTTGCCATCTTTATAAAGATCTTGTGTTGACAGAAAAATTGAGATGTACCGAGTCTGGAATAGAATCGGATGTTAACTTTGCGTTTTATGGGCTTCATGGATATTCAAAATTTTGACCCTATGTGGGGGATGTACCAGAAGAAATGATCCTATCCATACCATCTTTATAACAGATCTTGTGCTGATGGAGATATTGATAAGTACCAAGTCTAAATGGAATCGGATGTTAATTTTGCATTTTATGAGTTTCATGGAGGTTCAAAACGTTGAACCTTTGTGGGGGAGGTACCAGAAGGTGTATGCCGATATATCCCATCTTAACAGCAGATCTTGTGTTGATGGAAATATTGAGATGTGTGATATATAAAGAA